CATCCATCCATCCATCCATCCATCCATCCATCCATCATCCTTCCATCCTTGGTGTTACCAGACTGACTGTGTGCACCCTTATCTCTCCTGGCTGCAATACAAACCAAGTATTGCATGGCACCAGCCATGAGCTCGACATCACAATCAAGAGCTCAGCAGTGACCACACCTGCTCTGGAGAAAAGGCAGCAGTCCTTGGAGAAGCAGCTTGGCAGCTCTTTGCCTTTTCCTTTGGCCTTTTCCTTTGGCTGCTCCATGCTGGGTTTCCACACAGGGAATTGTTTGAACCAAGCAGGAGACACTCATGGCAGCAATTGCCTTCTTGTGGGCCATCACCCACCCCTGCACACTGATCACTGCCCCATCCTGCAGGACTGAGCATGTGCAGTTATCTTCTCCCTCTGGACACACTTGATTTAGACCTAATGGAAAAAGCTACAGACTGGATCCTGACCCCAGAAATAGCAGGCAAGGAATGAGAGATTAGCCATTCGAATGGAGAACAATGGAATTACATTTCATGTTAATTCCTGAATTACTCTCATATGATGTCAAAGAGCGAGGCTTGAGGGATTTCAGATCATGTCAAGGTCAAAAGAAGCCCTGAGGAGAAATTGTGACTTTTTTTACTGTTCAAAGGAATTGAAGTGCCTCAAAGTGTCTTCTGGTGAGAAACTTCTGCTGTAGTAGAAGCCCCATCTTGGGGCTTGTTAGAGCTGCTCTAGATCTGGGTGTGATCCCAGGATGCTGCTGAGAGGGAAGCTTTGGTTCCCTGTCCCCCAGGAGTGCTCAGGTCCTGCTGGGATTCCCAGGCAGTGATATTTGAAAGGGGTGTCCTGGAGATTCAGTCCCAGCTCTGCCGTCTGCCCAAGCCTGTGTTTGTTGGTTACTGTGGTGGGGTCCTGTGGGACACAACCTGAAAGCCAATGCTTGTGAATGGGGAAATTCTTCCCCTTTGCCCAACTGCTGAGCAGAGCCAAATTCTTCAGAGTCCTGGACCATGAATCTGCCATTTCAGTGGGTTTGTGTTTTTTGACAGATCATGGATGAATTACAGCCCTTTTTGTTTTCTAGGAGACCAATGGGGCAAAGTGTGTTTAGGCTAAAACATATTTGTTCCATTTTTGGTATCTTCCCCTCATACACACGTTGTGGTTTTTTGGTGTGATTTTTTTTTTTTTTTTTTGGAGCTAAAGACCTTAAAGAAAGTGAGGGCCCTTTGCTTGCACAACATGTTGAGGTTAATTCAGACCCTCTGGATCATATCCACAGCTGCTTGCACTTGGCAGATTTGCTCCCAAAGGTGACTTCCCACTGTCTGCTGAGAATCCAAACCTTTTGAATGGCCCTGAGTGACATACCCCTCGTGTTAAACGTGGGGAAGAGACTTGCAGAGTCACAGATCATCTGTGGAGAGCAGGAGGCTGTTCCTGGGAGCCACCTGGATGCACTGCTTGTTCTGTGTTGTGTCCTGCTCCCTGGGCCCTCGCTTCCACTGCTCCACAACAAACCCAAGGTGCTGCTGTGCCTCCAGCCAGCACAGGGACTTCAATCACTTGTTGTTATTGCCTCTGTGTTTGTGTTTTTCTAAGCATTTGTGTTCCACCAGCACACTCAGAGTGAGTGCTCTCGAGGGGGAATTTCCTTCCTGGTAAACAATCCTGCAGTGTGATTCAGCAGGAAGGATGTGGTGGTTCAGGCACTGGGCTGGGATTTGGGAGACAGGGGTTCTGTTCCCAACTCTACCACAGTCAAGATGTGATGATGAGTGGAAGGGCAAGCAAACAAAGAGGAGGAGCTGTGTAGCTGTGGCAAAAACACACTTCCACATGGCCTGTTAGTCCAGATTGGGGTTAGGTAGGTCTGGGGTTTGCACAGAATCATAGAATTGGCTGAGTTGGAAAGGACCTCAGGGTCATCAAGTCCAGCTCTTCACCCTGTGAAGGAGTTTTGTTTGGCTACTCAAGTAAAGAGCCAAACTCCTGTTTGTGCAGTTCAAATCTGGAACTCAGCTTATTCCAGGAACCTAGCTGTGTTTTTAACTCCATGTTGTTTTGCCTTCCATGGGCTCTCAGATGCCACTTTCCAGGGCTTCTTGGTTGACTCAATTCAGTTTCCCATTGCATTCTCTGATCTTGTAGCACATGTCCTATGGCTCCTACACCAGGTTGTACATGCATGTAGGTTCTCCACTCTCCTGCTAAATTCAAGGACAACAGACTGCACACAAGATATTATCTTTCTCACACAGGGTGAAGTTCCTACAGTTTGACAGTAACTCTACATTTTCTTTCCAGAAACAAGAGCTTGGGCTGCATCTCTGAGTTTAGACCTCCAACCTCAGCATCTTGATCTGGTGCCGCCTTTGGGAAGATGAGTCAGGACAATTACTCAAGTGATCAGCCCACGGGTGAGTTTTCATTCAGCATGATTTGCTTTCCATTTATTTTCTTACTGCTGTTGGAGAAGAATGCTGAGTCACAAATAAAGCAAAACATGTGAATCAATGCCAAATTGCATGCCATAAAGATTATTGGATCTTTGAGGTTTCCTGTCCACATCTGAATATCAGCATTCTTAGAATTCTAGTCCAGGTTGAAAATTTTTCTAGCAATTTTTTTCTGGAAGTTCTCCCCAGTTCAGAACACAGGAGTTTTATTACTGTGTTAGACAACTCTTTCTGCTATTTGACATAACTTAGTTTTCTCATTAATTGCATTGGTAATTGGTTACCCTTTGCAGTAAGGAAGATGTGCACACACCATTGTATGTCCCGTCAAGTCTGAGGGTCAGGGTCCCTGCTGGAGGGAGAGCTTGGATAGACAGGAATTTGTTACTTCTGGCTCAGACCTGCCATAAATTTGCTCTCTTCTTCCATCCCCATCTTTGGCTGTGGGAGCTCAGCCTCACGGAGTGCTGCTGGCAGTTTGTGCTGGGAGAGGCGGATGCCAGGGGCTGTGCCTGCAGCCTCCCAGGCTCTGCTCAGCCTGGGCTTTTTTGGAAGTGTCAAGGGGCATTCTTAGCTCTGACGTGAGGGCTATTTTTTGACAGTTCCCATTGTTCCCCAACCTTTGTTCATGGGTGAAGTCTTTTTGTCTGAGGCCTTTGTCAGAAATAGAGGCTGTTAGGAGAGCTGTCTGCTCACAGGTTGGGGGAGTTTTCTTTTGTTGTTGAATCCTGAGAATTTGTTCCTTGCTTTTACAGACTCACTTGGGCAAACTTGCCCAGAAAAATGAGGGGATTGTTGGGATCTCCCCTTGCTGGGCCTGCAGGGAGAGGGGTTCCTCAGAGCCACCACCCATGTGCCCTGCTCTGGCTGTCCCAGGCCATGTGGCTGGGGCAGAGCAATTTGTGGTTCTGAACATCTGCCTACACTAACACCCTTGCCATCGTCCATGGGTTTGAATCTGGGGCTCAAAAAGGGAAAATTTAGGAAAATTCCTGTGGTAGCATGAAATATCTATTGTCTAATACTCAGCATGTATTTTATTACTGTGAACAGGTGATGATGGCACATCAGGATGTCATGGAGATTCATGAATCATCCACAGAAGGACCTAGAGGCTGGGTTTGGGGAAAAAGGCATTCAAGTCTCTATAACATATCCTGGGTGCTTGTGAGAAATGTCTGGTCAGAATATTCACAGATTGCTCATTGCAGCCTTCTTTTTTGTAGGCGTCATAAGCTGTGGTTTGAGTTTAGATCCACTCTCTAAAACAGGCACAGGAATGAATCTGTCCAGAGGGACTAATTTTCCATGTATCACTCATGTACATTTTACACCTCCTGTTGAAGTGCTTAATCCTGATTGCTCTTGGAGTCAAGTGCTGAGTAGGACAGGTGTGATCACTGGTGATTTACATCCTGGCTGAGGATAGGAATCTTCCAATCTGGACCTCCATTTGTTCCGCTTCCAGCACCACCTATTGAGTTTTACATTGTTGGTTCATTTCATTCTCTGAGCTACCACTGGAGCTATACTTAGAGAGGAAGGATATTATAATCTTGTGAAAGATTAAAATACTGTTACTGTAATCCAGCTGGAAGGGGAGACCTTTTCTCAGGGCGAGAGACAGCCAAGGTTTTTCCCATTCTGTCCTCCCCTTGTATGCAGGAAGGAAGTACTGGCAAAGGCCCCTGAGCTTCCTGAGGGCTGGGGAGCGTTTCCAGACCCAGCCCTCGGCACCATCCATCAGCAGCCGCCAAACAATCGCTAACGAGGGGAAAACACCGCGGGATAAACAGGGAGCAGAGCCTGGGGAGAGGGACTGGGGAGAGAGACTGGGAGAGAGAATGGGAACAGGGCCTGGGGACAAGGCCTGGGGANCACTCCAGGTGTGCTGGTCGTGTCCAGGGTTCGCTTTCCCAGTGGCTGGAGGTGATTGATGGGTGAGAAGAGTGAAATGAGCAGGGAGTTCTGGGTCGTGGAACTCTGCAGGCATGCAGGGAGATACATTCTTTGGTATCCGGGGCTTCCTCCTGGAGTTCAGGTTATACTTATGCCCTGGGGTCACAACAATTTGCTTATTAATGTTAGGAACTTGGACAGGAATTCCATAAAAAATCATTCCTGTCAAGCTGGTGGGCTTCACCATGCTGAGGGGACAGCCTTGAAAATCCAACAGACTTTGACAGACATCTGTTGATGTTTTGTCAGCTGCTTTCCAGTTTTAATGTCCGAGCTAATGAGGCAGAGGGTGTTCTCTGGAGCAGTGTGGCTCTGCTGGCTTCTGCCATGAGTGTTCTGCTCTGAAACTTCAGCACTTCCAATGCATCTTATTATGGCACGAATAGTGGGAAATTATTAAATTACTCCCATAAATTATCAAAAGTCAATAATCATTTAATAAAAATTCCATTCAAGTGAAGTGATCTCCTTAGAATAAGCTCCAATTGAATAAATTTATACAGGAGGCAGAGTCATGTCCTGGCCCCTTTGCTTCTGCAGTGCCAGTGGTCCTGGTGGTCCTGAGCAGCCCTCTCCAGGTAGGAATTTGTGGACCCCTGCTGGTTTCAGGGCCCTGGAGGGGAGGGAACACAGCCTGGGGTTCTTCACACAGGCCCAGAGTCAAGGCAGGCACTGGCTGAACACTGCCTGGTTTGAATTTTCTTTTTTATTTTTCCTTGTGTCAGTGTTTTTTTGTTCTATATCATCACAGCAAAGTGAAGTTTCCATTTCTGAGTAGTTAAAGATTTATGTGATAATGGGAAGTCTGTAAAATTAGGTGGAACTGCAGTTTGCATTTCAGCCTGAGGTGCAGAGAGGCTGCAGCCTCTTCATCACTTCTGCCCACTGTGAAAGAACATATGCTACAGACACAGCTTGTGAAAGGGCTTGGGAGGCAGGTCATTTGTGACACACTGCAGCCTGAGATGCCAGAATTTAAGCAGAGATTTTGAATGGTGTAGCTTTGCTGGGACATTGTGAAGAATGAAGCTTGTGTGAAGTTTGTGAAGGATGAATGCTGGGTTTGTAGCTGATGGGAGCTAAATTGAAGCTAAACTGGGTTTGAGTACAGAATCCAAAGTCTGTAAAAGCCAATGAAAAGGCACCCACGATCTTCAGAGGATGCTTTTGCAGGCACTACTAGAACTACAGCTCCTTCACCCATCTCCTAACTCGTGTTTTTTCTGGGGAGAGGTCCATGACAGTGGAAACTTCAGGGCAATGTGCAGCTTCCTCTGAGGGGCAGCTCCCATCTCTGCTCTGGGCCAGGGACAGCAGCCAGGGCACGGCTGGGGCTGGGCCAGGGCAGCTCAGGCTGGAGCTCAGGGCAAGGCTCTGCCCCCAGAGGGTGCTGGCACTGCCCAGGCTGC